GTGTCATAAAGAGCATCTCGAACAAACTACAGACCTTCATTAACAGTTGTCTTCGCTCAATACTCAAGATCAGATGGCCAGAAAAGATCAGCAACAGGGATGGATCTCTGGGAGCGAACCAACCCAGCAGGAACCGATTGTGAAACAAATAGGCAGGAAGAAATGGAGATGGATTGGCTGGCCATACTCTGAGGAAACAAAACATCAAGTGACATCACTAGACAAGCCATCGCTCGAGTGGAACCCGAAAGGGAAGCGGCGAGTTGGTCGTCAGTGCAAGGGTGACATGGAGGAGGTCATGTGAAGAGAAGATGAAGGCGTGTGGGCAGACTTGGAGTCAGGTGAAGACTCTAGCAGAGAACCGAACGCAATGGAGACATAGGGCTGAAGCTCTATGTTCCTCTAGGAATTAAAGGAAACAACAATAATAATAATACCCATTTCGCTACCTCCATACTGAAGATCAGATGGCCGTCAGTCTAGAAAGAATTATCAACGAGAAACTCTGCAGTGGAACAAACCAACCAAGAGCCGATCGCTCAACAACTATGTAGGAGGAAATGGAGGTGGATGGATCGAGCATACATTGAGAAGGCCGCCGAATGACATCACACGCAGTACAGGCCATGGTTCGAGTGGAATCCAAATGGGAAGCGACGAGTGGGTCATCAGTGCAAGGGTGACATGGAGGAGATCGTGTGGCGAGGAACGGATGAGAGAGTTTGGGCAATCGTGAACCCAGTGAAAGAGGACAGCAGAAAATAGAACAAAGTGGAGATGTGTTGTTGAAGCCCTATGTTCCACTCGGAACGCAAGGGAATAATAACAATAGTAATAATAATATTGGTACTCACAGAAATTCTGTAGAAGGATTTTGAGCACATGAAAAAAACGGATTAGAATGGTATATGTCTATATAACTAATCCTATCAGTATATGGGACCTCCATTCTCAGCACATTAGAGGCATATACAACATATAATTCATTTTTATTACGTGTATATATCCTTATGCTAAAATGCTACATGCGTCGGTGGCATAGCGGTTGGGACGCTCGCCGACCATGCACATGGTCCGGGGTTCGATCCCCGGCCACCAACGCACTCCTTTCCTCGCTAAGCCAGAAATAATGCTGGTGAAGAGGAAAGGTTTGGCATGAGGCTAGCAATCCCATCCTGTAAAATAAGCACTGCTACAGAAACTTCAAGCCACTAGCTTGAAGCCCTATGTTCCACTTGGGAACGTGAAGGAAAATAAAAAAGTTTTAAAAATGCTACATTTCACCTAGAAGAATATGACTTGGTTAGTTCAAGGTTATCCGACTGTGGTATCTGTTCTTTACTGCTGGCAGCTCTTATTCTTCCACTTAGTTAATTATGAGCACTAGTAGTAGTAGTGGAATTTTTCAAGGTTATCTAGAAAAATTATTGAATCATCCCTCTTGGATATAATTCCAATTTTGTTCCTTAATAATGTTGCCTAGTAGAACAGGAACCAGGGAGAACTTCTTGTCCAACTTTGGGAATAGTCAGCTGAGTGCACACGCAAATGCATTTCTGAGTAAATGGTGGTGGTGCTCTCACTGAGACTGGACTGAAGAATAACCTCGTCACCTAGTAGATCGCCAGAACCATCTCATGTATGATGGAGGAATAGTTATTTGCCACAAAGTTAAACTATTCTAGTCAAAACCACAGTGACCTTGAACAACCAATCAGAATTCAGATGCAAAAAAGTCGTATAATCGTTGAAAAATACACCAGCAAATCATGCAAACTTGATATTTCACTGTATAGTTGTAACTTATGTGTTATAAGAATGTCTCTCAGTCAGTACACAGATGATCTATAGAGAAATCGTACCATGCGTGATATACCCATTCATCCAGGTGACTGCAGGTCATGGTACTTTGAGATTTACTGATATTTCTGACATTATTCTCCAACCTACTCTCTTAGAATATGCAGACGATATAGTCCTTCTAGGCGAGGACGCTGACAAAATGCAGAGTCTTCTGAACACCTTGAGCTGCAATCTAAGAATGTTTGGCATGCGATTCGCTCCCGCCAAATGCAAGATGATGTTACAGACTTGGACTACACTGACTCCTAGTTTAGAAATAGGGAGTGAAGTGGTAGAGAACGTTGACCGCTTCACTTATTTGAGAAGTCGGTCGGTCGATCGGTTTTCGACATAGAACTTTGCACATATGTGCGTCAGTTCAAGTCGCCACACTCCCTCCATGTAGCACACAAAGCAAGAGAAGAAAGTAGGAGAAATGTATAATATAGACAGTAAACAGAGGTATGAGACAAAGGAATAGTAATAACGAAGAACAAAACAGTTTCATTGGAAATCATAAGTCACAAGGAGTGGATGCATCTGCGCCGGCCATTGAGAAAGATTTTCAGCCATGTCACCAATTTGGGAAGTACCATCAGCCCCAACGGGTTGATCTCTGACGAAATCTCACGATGGATACAGAGGGCTAGTTTCGCATATGCCAGTTTATGCCATTTCTGGCGAAGACGTGATATCCGACTATCGACCAAAAGGTGTGTGTACTGCTCATCAGTCCTCTCCGTCCGCCTTCATGGCTGTGAGACCTGGCCATTGAGAGTGGAAGATATGAAAAGATTAGCTGTCTTTGATCATAGGTGCCTGCGTTCTATCTCCCGTGTGAAGTGGTATAATAAGGTGAGCAATATTGAGGTTAGGCCTCGGTCGAGTGCTAGGTAAGGAGAGGAAATCAATCGACAAGGCTGTGAAATTACATCGACTGAGATGGTTAGGACATATGTTACGCATGCATACGTAGTTATCAACTTCCTCGACGGGCAATGTTAGCTGATATTAGATCAGGCTGGAAAAGAGCTAGCGGCGGTCAAACCAAAACATGGCTTCATCAGTCAACGAAATCTACAACAGTTAGTCTAAGCCACATAGGAAGGTGTAGACTTCCTGGCTAGTTTGGGTCCTCGGGACAGTAAAAACCAATGGTTGGAAACAATTGGTGACATGGCTCAAAGTGATCGTTCTTAATGGGTGGCGCAGATGCATCCACTCCTTGTGACTTATGATTTCCGATTAAACTGTTTTGTTCTTCGTTATTACTATACCTTTGTCTCACACCTCTGTTTACTGTCTCTATTATGCATTTCTCCTACTTTCTTCTCTTCCTTAGTGTGCTACAGGGAGTGTGGCGACTTGAACTGCCGCACACATCTGCAAAGTTCTATGTCGAAAACAGACAGACAGACAACCTACTCTCTAATCATAATCCTAACTCTTAATCTTAACTCTAACCCTACACCCTAAACCTCAATCTTAAAAGCCATAACCCTACCTAACAGCAAAGATTTACAGAAAAAGTACCTAGAGAATAAGTAGTATACTGTATATATCCTCTCCAAGTCCCAAAAAGCAGGCATGACTTGATTTGGAATGATATTTCCTAGTATTCCCTGTGTCTAATCGATTCTTGAAGGTCAACTCTTGAAAGACCTTGACTTTGGCTATGATACTTCATTTTTTATTCGTTTACGTCCCCGTTGGAATATAGGGCACCTACAAGCTAGAGTGTTTTTGAAGTTTCGGGAGCAGTGGCATTTACTTTTACGGGATGGGATTGCTAGCCTCATGCTCAACCTACCCTCTTTACCAGTCTTACTACTGACTTAGTGAGGTAAAGAAGTTCGTCGGTGGCCGGAGATCGAACCCCGAACTACATGCGTGGTTGGCCAGTATCTTACCGCCGTGCCACCGACGCACAATGGTACTTTAACTTCACCTTATTTGCATTCTGGATTCCAATAACTTGATTAATTCTGGTCTACTAAACTACTAAGATCCACGTATTTGACCCTTTCCTCCCCCCCTCTCCAAACATTCACTAATTGGTAATAAGACAAACTATCGTATTTTCTGAAAACTTTTTCAAAACCATGCGGCCTTTTTATACATTTTGTCTAAAAGGTTTACCGAAGTAGGGAGGGAGAGATTATGGCTGTACCTACCTCCGAGGGTGAAATGGAGGAATTGGTGTGAGGAGATGACGTCTTTATGAGGAATCGTCAGGCCAGCTAAAGAACACAGCAAAATGGAGATGTTCCACTTGGAACTCAAGGGGATAATATATAACGTGACAGCCGAGGTGTCCGTCTTAGGGACCGATATGTCAACAGACACCAAGCACCTCAATCCAGTGTGAATCAATCGACGGGAAATTTCAGTAAAAATAATAATTTTCTATGATTGGTTTGTAAGGATTAGTTTTGTTTTTATGAGATGATCACGGATTGGTATCAGTTACTGCCGAGGATTCCCAAACTATTGGGATGAAACAGCTAGCTGTCCAGTACTCCAGTGCTGGTTTTCAATGGTTCTCTAACTGATATCAATCCGTGATCAACTCGTAAAAACAAAACTAATCTTTACAAACCAATTATAGAAAATTAATCCGATGCTCGTTGGTGACTAGTGGGCTACAGGACGGCGTTTCCTGGAGTTCTAGTGAGAAGTCGTGACCAGTGAGGTTCAACCAGATGTCACGTGTGACGATGGATTTCCCACCGATGACATTGGTTGGTGCCGGTCGCGCTAAATCATGAATTGATTGAAAATCCCCATTGAGTCATATGAAAAAGAGAAGACATTCATGAATTGGTAGAAGTTAGAATTCATGGACTGGTCATTGAATGGGGTCCCAGTAGCTGAATGGTATACGAGCTTTCTTGCTGGTAACCGGAAGGTCCTGGGTTCGAACCCCCTGTGGTGGGTGCGTACTGCCGATGATTTTCAAACTAGTGGGATGAAACAGCTGTCCAGTACTCCATGCTGGCTGGTTTTCAATGGTTCTCTGACTGATGATATCAATCCGTGATCAACTCGTAAAAAAAGTAATAATAATTTCAACCAAAAATAATGAGTAAATTTTGAGAGTTATAGGGTTAGTGAGAAAAAACACCTCACATAACTGCCCACCCACCTGGCTAACTTACCTGAAATGAAACAGCATCCAAATTCGAATAACCAACAAATAACAAGTTATTTTGAATTGTATACACCAATCCAGGAACTGATATTAATACACAATCCCATGGATCTTTCCATATATTCTCTTTCAGATTATTTATGAATGCAGTAAATGAATAATTCGCCTCCATGTAGACAAGAAAGAAACATACGAGTAGTTTAACTAATTCACTCATGACAACAGCTGTTGTCGAATAGTACATATCACCTTGTCTTGCACGTGAATATCGAGTGACAAGTACAACAGCAGCATTTTGAAGAACAAGAGATATTAAGGCAACACGTCCACGGAATACATCGCCTACACAAGACACAACAGGAGACAATAAACACATGCATACTTCATTTAATGAGGACTTACTGTGTAAGAATTTAAATCTATCCAATGAAGATACCATTTCATATATGCACACGGAGGTGGGCAGGGTGGGGTGGGAGGCAAGCAAATGTGAGAACACAATAGCAGAAAACTGTTCTGCTTATTAAAGTTCTTCTTTGAAGATTAATAGAATAACCTATATAAGGGGGAGAAATAAAGTTATTATAAAAACAGTTCTGAAGATAAGTTGATATAGAGAAAAATAAGCAGGACAATATATAAGAACACTTACATGGTAAAACTATATACTACTCATTGATTCAGATGAGTAGTTGTGTATACAACCAACCCCCCTCACATCAACCAGTAGTAGTACTGTAACGACAGAAGATAAGAGTCAGGCAACAGATAGTTTATTGAGAAAATCAACAGATATTTATAGATTTTTATGTACATTATTATTAGCGTTATTGTTAGGAGAGAAACAGCGTCTTCTGATTGGTTGTTTTCCTGCTGAAGGTTATTCTGTCATCTCTTTGTTGCCGTTTCTTAGACAGTCCGGTCATATATCTGCGAATCGTATCCGCCCACGCTAAGTTTGCTGTGATTGGTTGTTGAGTTCCTCAAGGTTAGGCTTCGTTATTGTTTTTATCTCGTGACCCCGATTAGGGATGTAAAAATTGACGTAAATTATTGTCTACAATTTTGGCTAGCAGACAGCTCTCACCACCGTGCTTGCTAACCAGACGACTCACTCGTTTCACACCGAGTTCATATCACCGGTATAGCCGGCTTTACTCTGCTCAGAAGGCACAAATCAGTTCAAACCACCTGTATTCTGGTTAGCAAGTAATATTGCCGGTTGGTGTGAGTGGGGTATGCAACTATTCATCTCAACCAATCAATAGTATGCAATATATGTTCTCTTAGCTTCGGTGGCATAGCGGTTAGGACGCTCGCCGACTATGCACATGGTCCGGGATTCCATCCCCGGCCGACGCACTCCTTTACCTCGCTAAGCCAGAAATAATGCTGGTGAAGAGGAAAGGTTGGGCATGAGGCTAGCAACCCCATCCTGTAAAAATAAACACTGCTACGGAAACTTCAAGCCTCTAGCTTGAAGCCCTATGTTCCACTGGGGAACGTGAAGGAAAAGAAAATATGTTCTCTTGGGTTCCAAGTGGAACATAGGGCTTCAACAACACATCTCCACTTTGTTTCAATTTCTGCTGTTTTCTTTAGCTGGGCCCACGATTGCCCATCTCCTCCCTGCACGATCTCCTCCATATCAACCTCGGCCCTAAGCCACACTCGTTGTCTCCCATTATGACTCCACTCGAACAATGACCTCCATTGCGCGTAAAGTCATTCGATGGTTTCCTGCCCAAACCATCCCCATTTTCTCCTACATATTTCTTGAGCAACCAGCATTTGGTTGGTTTGTTTCAAACCGGAGTTTCTTGTTGCTAATTCTTTCCGGCTATTCGAAGGCAGCTGTTGATAAATGTATGCTGTAGTCTGTTGGAAATGCGCTTCGTGAGGTTCAGTGCAAGTTTCTCACCCATACAGAAGAACTGACTGACTTGACATTTGTGACGAACAGAATCCGAATCTTGTTCTTTATGCAGGCTGAGTGTCAGTACAGAAGATGTCCAAACCGATTTCAGATTGATGTGAAGGTGTATCTTGCCTTTCCAATTACTTCAGTTGTATGCAGTTTTGTTCAAATACGCCTGCTTTCTTGATTATCAATTATGGTGGTGTCAAACAGATCACATATGGTAATTTTGGCTTCCAAAGGAAACTATGGGGGTGGTGAAAATCCACCTAATAACAAGTTGTGAAAATTGAAAATTGTGAAATTACACGGTACATAAAAACTACCCGACCGAAAGCTGCTACCTTGACGTGGTGGTCGGGCTTGAACACCGCAATGACCCAACAAGCTATACTGGCTGAGACTTATGTCGCTTGAGGTCCTACCATGCCAGAAACGTTGTTTGGATAGCGGTTAGACAAAAAGCAGTTACCCAACCCAATGCTGTGACACAAAGTAAATCACAAAATATGATACCGGATCGGTCAGGGCCCGGATTAACAACGACCGCGCTTCCTGCTGCCGTGTCACAGGGCAGAAGTGATAAATACGCTACTGAGACACACCAAATAAAAAAGAACAAACAAAAACAGGCCGTGTGTGACCGGCCTCAAGCAGTTGTCCCCTGGGCTCTGCAGTCACGCAACCAACTTCCACCGTGTGGGCAGCCGGGAAGTAACAATCGCCCTCACAATCCGAAGTGCACGCGAAACCTCTCTAATCCTCACTCATCTTTGTCTCCATCTTCATCTCTATTATCTTGCCTTCCTTCTACTAATGCAACTCCTCTACTTGATGGCTCTTCACTTCCTCTGCACTCTGTGTGCACTGAAAACGACGGAAGCCAAAAAACCACCATCGACAGTCTCCTAAAGACCAGATAAAAACTAAATAATACCTGCAAAAAAAACTTCATACAATCATACTACAAAAACCTTTTCTGAAATTATCACAGGACAATTTTCCTACCTAAGATTAAAAACAATACCACTGACTGACCAGTCTCAACATAGAACAACTTTGCACCGATGTGCAGCAGTTCAAGTCGCCACACTTCACTTAGCACACAAAAAGAATAGTAATATCAAAGAACAATATAGTTTTATTGGATATTATAATTCACAAGCAGTGGATGCATCTTCGCCAGCCATTGACAACGATCACTTTGAGCCATATCACCAAATGTCTCCAGCCTTTATTGGTTTCTACCGTCCCGAGGACCCCAACAAGTCAGTTAGGCGGTCTACACCTCCCTACGTAGCCGGCTTAAACTAACTATTGTGGATTTCATTGACTGATGAAACCATGTTTTCGTTTGACCACCACTAGCTCTCTCTTTTCCAGCCTGATCCTATGTCAGCTAACATTGCCTGTCGAGGAATGCGATGGCTAGGGATGCATACGTAACACATGTCCTAACCATCTCAGTCAATGTAGCTTCACAGCCTCGTCGATTGATTTCCCCTCCTAACCTAGCACTCGACGCCTAAACCCAATATTGCTCACTTTATTATACCACTTAACACGGGAGATACAGTGCAGGCACCTATGATCACAGACAGCTAGCCTTTTCATGTCTTTCACTCTGAACGGCTAGGTCTCACAGCCATAAAGGAGGACGGAGCGGACTGATGAGCAGTACACACGCCCTTTGGTCGATAGTCGGATATCACGTCTACGCCAGAGACGGCGTAAACTGGCATATGCGAAACTAGCCCTCTGTATTCGTGCTGAGATTTCGTCGGAGATCAACCCGTTGGCACTGGCTGATGGTACTTCCCAAGTAAGTGAAGCGGTCAACGTGCTCTACCACTTCACTTCCTATTTCTAATCTAGGAGTCGGTGTAGCTCAATCCTGTAACATCATCTTGCATTTGGCGGGAGCGAATCGAATGCCAAACATTCGTAGATTGCAGCTCAAGGTGTTCAGAAGACTCTGCATTTTGTCAGCGTCCTCGCCTAGAAGGACTATATCGTCTGAATATTCTAAGTCAGCGAGATTATTCCCTGGTAATAAGTCAATTCCTGAGTCGCTAAAGTCAGTTAGGGCCAAGAAGGGGATCAAGAAGGCTTATTTGACATTTGTCTAACAACTTACGCCATCTCTGGCCTAGTAGACGTCATATCCGGCTGACTGACTGTCAACCAAAGGATGTGTGTACTGCACAGAAGCACTTCGCTCCGTCCTCCTTTATGGCTGGCTGTGTGTGAGACATGGCCATTGAAAGGGGAAGACATGAAAAGCCTGGTTAGCTGTCTTTTATCATAGGTGCCTGCGTTCTATTTCCCGTGTGAATTGGTATAATAGGGTGTGCAATATTTAGGCGAGGCTTTGGTTGAGTGCCTCATATCTCTGTTTACTGTCTCTATTCTGCATTTCTTTTTACTTTCTTCTCTTGCTTTGTGTACTACATGGAGTGGAGTGTGGCGACTTGGACTGCTGCACATCGGTGCAAAGTTCTGCTTTGAAACCAGTCAGTCTAGATATAAGAATAGAACTTGGGCACTATGATACAGTAGAATGCCATCATAGATTAAATTTATTTGATAAAAGCACGCGATGTTTTACAAAAAAGCTAATCCATTCTAATAGATACTTGAACGTTAGTTCATCTCATCTATTATATGCATAGGCAGGCTCACTTGGTTAATTGTCTAAATAATCAACTGAACAATAACTTTAAGTAGTACATCAGAAATCCTAAATAATGAAATGAAAGACAGAATAATCGATGGTGCTTCACATAAAACTATCACATAATATGACTGACTGATTTCAACGTAATATGCACAACACAGTATGCATGAGGAAGAATAAAACAGCTAAGAAGAAAAGGAAAAAAATAGTAGTGGAACTATCGAGCATAACCTAAATAAGAAAGAATTTAAAGCATCTATAGGTTTAACATATAAGGAAAAGACATCTGAGACACTACATAGGACTCTGAATAAACAAAGAATTTGGGTATCATTTAAACCTACAAACTCAACAGGCTGAATGCCCCCCCTACTGACCCAATTACACAAAATAATATAATCTATAAAAAATCGAATACCTTGCAATAACCGTGAATTCAACTCTACATAGGTCAGACTAGTAGTAGATCGGGGTAGTCAAATTATCGGAACATAAGGATCTAGCTAAGTGTAGAATGACTAACCCGACGAAGATGATTAGGTTCAGAAGAAAACTCAGAGATTGCACTGCATGCATTAAAACACAATTATTCAGTAGGGTGCAGGGAGGGGTAGATCAATGAATCTTTCTCCGTCGAATCCACAGCTAACACGTGTGTACAGGGAGTGACTCAGTGCCAATACCAGAACTGTGGAAAATATTACTACCAACAAAATTAAAGGATAAGAAATAATTGAATGATATGAAGGGAGGTCGAGCCTAGTTACAGGTGAAATATCACCACTTAATCTCAGGAAGAGAACTCAGCGACTGATAGCATTCAACTTCACTAGATTCGAAAAAAAGTAGAACTACCACCATCTAGTATCATCTTTGAGGAACCATCTTGGTTGCAGTTAAAATGGACCCCATTGGCCATTGAATTTGTAGGGATTTGATTGAACCGACCCAACCAGAGAAA